ACACCGAGCTGGGCCCGGCCAAGGGCGCATGGGAAGCCAGCTCGCTGCGCAGCTCACGGCACAGCGGCCTGGGCCACTGCTGACTGCGGTTCTGATCCGCGCACCCCGGGAGTTTAAGGAAATAAAGCCATTTCCAGAGCCTGGAGCAGGTCTGTCCGGACAGGGCTGCAGCTCCAGCCACAGAGGCAGTGGAATCACCCCGGCCAAACACAATGCTCCGGGCTAGAGCACCAAAGCTCTGAGGGGTGCTCTAAGCCCCTGCAGTCTGTCCGGCTCACTACGTCCTGAGCTTGCCAGACACCCTAACCTACACCTCATCCCATCATCCTGGAAGCCCCAATACCCCAGCACGACTGCAACTACTCTCAAGCGAGCCCCCTCCAAGCATGAGATGGGACGGAGGATGCAAGGACAGGGCGAACCCCAAAGGCATTTTTAAAAACTAAGAACTCTGGATGGGTGGGGAGGGCGCTAGCAGCCCCGGGGCACGAAGTCGAAGTCCCGGAAGGCGGCCTGCTCGGCAGCTGACAAGGGCCTTGCGTCGCGGGGCGGGCTGAGCGTAGGCGCCTCCCCCGTGAACTCCTCATCGAAGTTGCTGACGTCTGTGCGCCCAGAGAGCTTGGGCACAAAGGGCGGCGGCAGTCTTCGCGCCAGGAGCGCATCCCAGCCCAGGGTCTGCGGAGGGGAGAGGGGTGGAGGAGAGTCTGAGGGAAGCGAGCCTGGAGTCCAAGTGGGGGTGGGTGTTGACGGACAGTGCAGGTTGAACTCGGGGAGCCTGGAGGGGCACAGGCTGGGGCAAGCAGGGAGGGAAGGAAATGGGAGTTCCTAGGGCCGGTGCACGTTTGAAGGGAGCTAGGTCCACAGGCGAAGCCACCAGGCTTCGGGGAGGGAACTGGGCCTGGGTCCTGCGTGACTGGGGCTCACCCTGAAGAAGGGCTGCTTTTTCACATCCTCTGCATCACGCTCGCTGGACCCCAACCTCCGCTCTGGGTTCCTGCGAAGCAGCTGCAGGGAAGGAGCTGGGTCAGGATCGGTGGTTTCCAGCCCAGTCTCCTACCCCACTGCCCCCACGCCTGGAGTCCTCACCCTTCGCATGATGCCAATGGCCTCAGCTGACAGGAAGCGGGGGTAGCGAACCTCATCATTGACGATGCTGTCGAACACCTCCTCCTCATCGTCCCCAGGGAACGGGGACTGGGGACAGGCAGAGGTGAGGTGAGTGCAGCCCCTGGAGACTGTCACACTTCCCACAGGAGCGGCTCACAGACCGGGACACCGAGGACGGGGGCACTCACCTCGCCCACCAGCATCTCGTAGAGCAGCACACCCAGGCCCCACCAGTCCACAGCGCGCGTGTAGGACGTGTCTGTCAGCACCTCAGGGGCCAGGAACTCGGGGGTCCCGCAGAATGTGCTGGTCCGGTCCCCATAACCCATGCCTGGGGGCAGCAGGGCCATAAGAATCATGGGGCCGGGGCTAGTGGGAACCTCGGGTGCCTTCCCCCTGCCCCACGGGGTCCCCAGACTCCAGCCCTCACCCTCTTTGCAGAGGCCAAAGTCAGCGATCTTGACATAGCCCTCGGTGTCCAGGAGCAAATTGTCCAGCTTCAGGTCCCTGGAGGGGTCAGGAGGTGGGGAGGTGTGAGCGTGGGGTGGGGGTCTGGCATCCCAGGCTGGCGCGCCCTCCACAGGCAGACCACGGGCACCTGTAGACAATCTTGTGTTCGTGGAGGAACTGCAGCCCCAGCACCACGCAGGCCGAGTAGAAGCTGCAGAGAGAGGCGGAGGGTCAGGGACGAGGCCCCCAGACTCCAGGAGGCTGAGGCAGGTGGGCTGCAAGGGCGGCTCACATGGCACGGGGCTCAGAGAACACATCGCTGTGGATGTGCAGCATGAGGTCCCCTCCGGCCGAGTACTCCATCACGAAGCACACGTGCTCTGGTGTCTGGAAGCAGCCGAACAGGTTCACTAGGAAGGGGTGGCCCGCGCTGGTCACTGCTGCCAGAATCCGCTTCTCACACATCAGGCTGGGGTGGGAGACAGAGGCCACGGCTGTTCCCCGTACCCCCAACTCCCAGGCTCCCCAGAGGCCACCACCCACGGTATCTGCTGAAGGCCACTGTGTGTGATGGAGCAACAGCTATTTCTGAACCTTGGTAGCCTCATCTGCTGATGGGGTGCTAAGTACCCACCCATCTTCCTAACAGTGCCCCTCAACTCTCCACTGGGGAATGTCAGGGTAAACACAGGGCCCAGGCCAACGAACACCCATCTTTCGGGCTGGGAAATGGTCACGGTGGCTGATGCCAGGATTCCCACTGGGATGGTCCAGAACAAGGAAGGCTGCTGGTGGCAGAGACCACACAATGAGCGAAGACCTGAGAGCCTCATCTGAAACCTGGATACAGCCACGCTGGAAGTGGACACACTGGGACTTTTCTGACCCAGACCAATAAATTCCTTCACCTGTGTGAGCCTTTCTGAGTCAAATTCCTGATTGTTAAAAAGGCTGGTGCAGCCGGGCCTGGTGGTGCATGCCTGCAATCCCAGCACTCGGGAGGCTGAGGCAGGAGGATTGCTGTGAGTTCAAGACCAGCCTGGGCTACATAGTGAGTTCCAGGTCAGTCTCAACTACATAGTGAGACCCTGTCTCAAAAAGCCAAAAAAAAAAAAAAGGCTGGTGTGAACCTTGGAAAATACCAGTGACTCTGAGAATCTAGCATGGTTCAGACTTCTTCCTTTTTTTGGTACCGGGGATCAAACTCGGGCCTTGCGCTTGTGAGGCAGGCAGCGGAACCACTGAGCTAAATCCTCTGCCCTCCTTCCTTTTTTTTTGAAACATATTCTGAGTTGCCCAGGCTGGCCTTGAACCTGTGGCCCCCTGCACTGGCCTCCCAAGTAGTTGTGGTTATAGGCACGTGTTACCCTGCTAGGCTGCACTGCCTCCCCTGTGATGGACCAGGGTTCTGAGGGGAGACATGGCTTCCCCTGAATCTCCAACCTATCGGCAGACAGGACTGGAACTCAGGACTCCTGCGCCAAAGTAGGGGCAGAGCAGTGGCGCCATAGGAGCATAGATCTCAGAGCCTGAGGCCCTAAGTTCAAATCTCCGGCCTGCTGCTACTGCTGCCTGGCTGTGTAACATGGGGAAAATTGCTCAATCTCTCTATCCCTTCTGTGTGTGGGCAGAATAACAGCACTTACCAATCAGGGAACAAGTGGATGGCTGGGTAACTGCAAAGATCTCAAATACAAGGGCACAAGAGGATGTATTGGTCCCTCCTCTCCTGGAAGAGGAGACAGAAGTCCCGGGGCCAGAGCAGAGCCTCACCTCTCCACCTCGTCCCGGGCCACTATGTCCCCTTTCTTCAAAGCCTTGATGGCAAAGAGCTCCCCGCTGGCTCGGAATTCAGAGAGCAGCACCTGGACCACGGTGGGGAGGGGTGGGCTCAGTGGTCAGTCGGACCCAGGAGCCCCAGCTCAGCTCCTGACTCTGGGCCCCTCACCTTCCCAAAGTGACCCCGGCCCAGCACCGCCAGGAACTTGAAGTCCTCCAGGGTCAGAGGAGACTTCCTCAGAGAGCTGTGGAGAGAGACATGTTGAGTGGGGGCCAGGGCAGGGGTATGGAGCTTGGGTTGGGCAAGGTGTTACCTGCATAGGCTGGGGCCTGGGGTCTCCTGGGTCTCTGAAGGCAGCTCAGGAATGGTGGCCATTTCCTGGCTTGGGGAACCCTGCAGAGGGAGGGGTCAGTGACATCCACAACCATGCCGGCTTCTGGGCCCTGTGTACTGCAGGCACATTCCTACCCCAGGACCTTTGCACAACCACCCCCTCTTCCAAGATGGCTCCATCCTCACATTTGTGGGATTTCCTCCCTTAAACCTGTTTTCAAATATTACCTTTGCCAGGCTTCAGCTGACCACTGGATTAAAGAGAACCCCTCTTAACAGGCCCTGTCCTTAGCAAGGCATGTTGGCACTCCTGTAATCCCAGCACTCAGGAGTCTAAAGCAAGAGGATCGCTGTAAATTTGAAGCCAGCCTGGGCTACATAGTGAATTAAAGGCCAGCCTGGATTACATAGTTAAGATTCTGTCTCAAAAAGAAACAAAACAAGGGCAGGGGATTTAGCTCAGCGGCACCACGCCTGCCTCACAAGCACAAGGTCCTGAGTTCAATTGCCAGTACCAAAAAAACAAAAACAAATAAAATACCATTAATGTGTCCTGCTCTTCTTCCTAAACATACTTTTTTTGGTACCAGGGATCAAATTCGGGACCTTGCACTTACAAGGCAGGCAGTGGTGCCACTGAGCTAAATCCGTGGCCCAACCTCCTAAACATACTTGAAATCCCAAATCTGTTTTATACACATACACATATATGCAGCACTGGAACTTCAACCTAGGGCTTTCTACTACTGAGACATCCCCAGCTCTTTTACTAAGATAGGATCTTGCTAAGTGCACAAACTTGTGATCCTCCTGCTTCAGCCTTCTAAGTGCTGGGATTATGGGCAGGCACCACACCAGGCTACATATGACTTCAAAAAGAAATTTAGCCAGGCAGTACAGAAAGGGGTGCAGATCAGTTGGCCAGCTGCTGAGCTTTTTTCTTTTTGTGGTACTGGGGGTTGAACTCAGGACTCTCACCCTAGCTATGTCCTCAGCCTTTTTAAAAAATATTTTGAGCTGGGCATGGTGATGCACACTTGTGATCCCAGCACTTGGGAGGCTGAGGCAGGAGGATCACCATTAGTTCAAGGTCAGCCTGGAATACACAGTGAGTTCAAGGCCAGCCTGAACTACATAGTGAGACCCCATCTCAAAACAAAAAACAAACAACAACAAAAAAATCATTTTGAGACAAGGTCCTGACAAGTTACTAAATTGCCTGGGCCAGGCTCAAACTTGAGATCTTCCTGCCATAGCCTCCCAGGGAGCTAGAATTGTAGGGTTATCGGGATGAGCCATGACACCTGGCTCTAAACTCACATTCATTCATTCATTCATCTACTGCCCACAGTGCTGGAGATGGAACCCAGGGTCAGAGTCAACACTCTAGCCCTTGAACTCATGTATTTAACCAGGATACGAAACTGGGTCCTGATTCTGCCAGAAGGGGCTGTGTCCCCAGGGAGGTTCCTGCTGGGCTCTGCACAGGCAGGGCCCTGATGTCACCCAGGTTTACGGGACAACAGGAGACAGGTGCTCACCAGGCTGGACGCTCTGGACAGTGGTCCTGAAGGGCCCTTCTGTGGGGAGCTGTCAGGGTCGGGTCCCAGGCTCAGCTTCTCCACTGAAATGTCCCTGGGGCACAGGCAGAAAGCGGGTGTGAGACCCAGCCCCGGAGCTGGGGGGCAGGGCAGCAGGGCTCCCCTCCTTACCCTGGAGGCCGGGCCTCGGGTCCCGGTGAAGCCCCAGGGCTGAAGGTGCCCGTGGCCGTGGCCGTGGGGATGAGCCTTCGCAGGAGCCGCACCCATGTGGCCACGTCGATGTTCATTTGCCTGGCTCGCTGGAACGCCTTCCCTGGGGGGTGGCAGGCATCACCCCAAGCCGCCCCGGACCCCATCTCTCCCAGCCCAGCCTTCCACCCCCTCACCTTGCTGCTTGGAGAAGATTTTCTTCTGCCTCCGGAGTCGGGGGATCCTCTCGATGACAGGGTTGTGGAAGGTGACCTGGGTGAGGGGCCCAGAGCTAAGGATCCTGCTCACTCTGCAGGACAGCAGGCAGAGCCCTCAGAAGTGGAGGGATGTGCAGCCCTGAGCTCTGTCCTGATGGAGCTCGCCTGGAGTGAGACACGCCTAGTGCAGCTGGGAGTGGTGGTGCATCCCTGTAACCACAGAACTCGGGAGGCTGAGGCAGGAGGAGCACCACAAGTTTGAGGCCAGCATGGGCTACATAGTGAGTTCAAGGCCTGCCTGAACTACACAGCCAGACCCTGTCTTAAAAGCACCAAAAAACAACCAACCAAAACACCAGGCTGGGGATTTAGCTCAGTGGTTGTGCTGCTTGCCTGGAAAGTATAAGGTCCCGAGTTCGATCCTGGTACCAAAAAAACCAAAAAAAACACATAAGAAGCTGGGCGTGGTGGCACACGCCTGTAATCCCAGCATTTAGGAGGCTGAGGCAGGAGGATCGCTGTGAGTTTGAGACCAGCCTGGGCTATGTAGTGAGTTCCAGGTCAGTCTCAACTACACAGTGAGACCCTGTCTCAAAAGACCAAACCAAACCAAACCAAAACACAAGAAAGGAAAAGCCTCCCAACCCCCAAAGAGAGAGTAAGAGAAAGGGAAAGGGAGAGACCTAGTGGATTAATCATGTGCCTTCTGGGTGGGTTCACCTGGGTCATGGGTGCTCTCAGGCCCTCCTTTTTTTCCAGTATTGGGGATTGAACTCAGGCACTTCACACTGAGCTCCATCCTCAGCCCTTTTTTATTTTTTAATTTGATACAGGGTCTCCCTAAGTCACTATATTTCTCAAACTGGGCTGGAGCTTGTGACCCTCCTGCCTCAGCCTCCCAGAGCTCTGGAATTACAGGTGTGCACCACCTCAGGTGCCAGCCTATTTTATAATAAAGTGTTGACTAGCTCAAGTAATTTACTGAACATGGTACTCAAAGTACAAAACAGGATGGTGCTGTGCTTCTCCCTGAATGCGTGCTACTTTACTCCTCCTCCTTTTTTTTTTTCCTTTACCAGGAACTGGACTCAGGACCTTGGGCTTGCCAGGCAGGCATGGTGCCACTGAGCTACATCCCTGGCCCTCCTCACACCAGTGCTGAAGGAGACACTCTCCTAGCATACACTGGGCCCTGCTGGAGGGGCAGGGGAGGGTGGGGAGGAGATTAGGGGAAGGAAGTACAGACAGAGAAAGAAATAAAGGACAAAGGGGCCAGGGATTTGGCTCAATGGCACCGTGCCTGCCTCGCAAGTGCAAGGACCAGAGTTCAATCCCTGGTACCAAAAAAATAAGAAAGAAAAGAGAAAAAGGACAAAAAGGAAGGGAGGGAGGGAGAGGGAGAGGGAGAGGGGGAGAGGGAGAGAGAGAGAGAGAGAGAGAGAGAAGAAAAGGAAAGGGAAAGAAGAAACAGAGGTCTCAGGTCACACCATTGTCAGCCTCAGGTTGTGGGAACAGAGCTCTGTGGGTACAGATGTATGGGTGCCCAGAGATTAGACACGTGTGCAGTCACACACAGATAAAATGAGGCACACATACAGATCAGAGCTCAATTGAAAGACTCTGGGGACAATGTGGCTCAAGGAAGGGACCAGTGACTTTCTGTGTCTGGGTTTTTTTGTTTGTTTGTTTTTAGGTACCGGAGATTGAACTTGTTCCTTGCACTTGGGAGGCAGGTGGTGGAAGCACTGAGCTAAATCCCTGGTCTGTGTCTCAGTTTTATCTTCTGTCAAACGAGCTCTCGCTCGGCGTGGTGGCACATGCCTGTACTCCCAGCACTCGGGAGGCTGAGGCAGGAGGATCGCTGTGAGTTGAGACCAGCCTGGGCCACATAGTGAGTTTCAGGTCAGTCTCAACTACATAGTGAGATCCTGTCTCAAAAAAGCCAAAAAAACAAAACAAAACAAAAAAAACCAACCAAACAAACAAAAAACAAAAAACCAAGCTCTCGCTGGGCGTGCTGATGCATGTGTGTAATCCCAGCACTCAGGAGGCCAAGGCAGTATTGCGATGAGCTCGAGGCCAGCCTGGAATGCATAGCGAGACCCAATACCTAAAACACCCCAGCTCTCTGGAGGCCATCATACAAATTAATGTCCGTGTGCCCAAGTGCCAGCCAGCACCAGCCCATGCCATAGGTCTCAGCTAGAAAGAATGCTGAGCCCTGGGTTCCTGGCCAGGGGCGGCTGTCAGGGGAACATTTTGGTTGTTAACATGGGGGAGGGGAGGTGCTGCCCAGCATCCCTGGGTCTTGGGATCCAGTTCCCAAGAAACAGCCGCAGCACAGGAACCCAACTGACACCTGAGCCTAATCCCTCTGGGAGGAAACTCTGTCCCACAGTGGCTCTAGCAGCAGTTGTGACATATTGCCACATTTCTTATTTTGATCTTCTGGTACTGGGGTTCAAACTCAGGACCTTGCACTTCCAAGTCAGATACAGTGCCACTGAGAGCAACTCCCAGTCCTTATGTTGCCATATTTTGTTGAATGTATGGCTTCACCAAATGTTTGTGATTTTTCTTTTCTCCCCCACCCACTGTTTTTGTTTTTTTTGAGACAGGGTCTTGCTATAAAACCCAGGCTGGCCTTGAACTCATTGATCCTCCTACCTCAGCCTCCCAGAGTGCTGGGATTACAGACGTGCACCACCAAGCCTGGCCTATTTTTCTTTTTTCTATTTTTTTGTGGGCGGGGGCAAGGCTGAGGATAATGAACCTAGGGTCTCATGCAAACTGGGCAAGGAGTCTACCACTGAGCTACACCCACAACTTTTTTTTTTTTTGGTACCAGGGATCGAACTCTGGTCCTTGTGCTAACAAGGCAGGTGGTGGAATGACTGAGCTAAATCCCCAGACCCCACAGCTCTTTTGTTAAAAATATTTACTTATTTGTGGTACTAGGGATCAAATTCATGGACACTGTGCCATAAAGCTATGCCCCCAGTCTCTTTTTATTTTGAAATGGGTCTCACTGGGTTTGCCCAGACGGCACTTGAACCTGCAACCCTCCTGCCTCAGCCTCCCAGAGTGCTAGGGTTACAAGCTCGTGCCATCTTGCTCAGCTCTTTTTTAAAAATGAGATCAGGCATAGCTTAAGGATAGGAGTACATTCTAAAAACTGTGCTGCCAAGTCAGAGGACCATCCCTGCACACAGCAATACCTGGGCTGAAGCCTCACACAGAGCAGGAATGTACCTGGTCTCCAAGCAAGCCAGCCCCAGCTGCTGCTATCACCTCTGCCATGACCACGATCAAGTGAGAGTGCTCTCTGCTAAACTAGAGCTGCTCTGAAACACCTGTGCAGCCATACCTCGGCCAGCAGACAGCCCTGCGGCTCCATGTCCAGCTGCACCTCATGCCGCTCGTTGTCCAGGAAATCTTCCAGTTTCAGGAACTTGAGGGCACACAGGCCCCGCTGGTCCCGCCAGAACACAGCCAGCTCCAGCTCCCGGGCCTAGGGGCGAGAAAGCACCGACCCTCAAGCCCCCACTTCCCCTACCTCCTCCTCGGTCCTGCCACCCTGGCACAGCTCACCCGCTCCAACTCTAATGTGAAGCTCTGGTCCCACGCGCTGGGGCCACACGGCTTCCAGGATGTCTGTCCCACCACTGTGTTATCCAACTTCAGCACAGCGCTGACCTCACCTGCAAGGGGAGACGCAGTCAAGAAACCACGGGGCCAAGCCAGTAAGGGCAGTGCACGCCTGTCACCCCGGCCTTCGGAGGCTAAGGCAGGAGGACTGCAAGTTTCAGCCCAGACTGGGCAACTCAGCAACACAGCCAAATTGCCTAAAATGAAAAACTAGAAAAGGTTGGGGATGCAGCTCAGCTCAAGGCCCTGGACTCAATCCCCAGTACTGAAAAACATAGGAAAGAATTGCTCGATCATATTGGGTCATTAACGTTTTCAATTTCTTTAATTTTCCACACCACTGGGACTGGAACCCAGGGTCTCGTACATGCTCACCAAGTGCTCTACCACTGAGCTGCATCTCGGTGCTACGTTTCATGTTTTTGAGGAACTGCCATACTGGTTTCCACGGCAACCACCTTCTGCTCCCCACCAACAAAGGCTCTGATTGCTCCACATCTTCACCAACACTTGCGACTTTCTGTTTCTTGGTTTTTTGTTGTTTTCTTTTTATTGAGTTTATTGGTACATTTTGGGTAGACAGTACAGTTATGTTTCTTGTTGTTACTGCTGTTTTGATAATAATCAACCTACTCAATTTTTTATTCACTTTGATTTTCTGAGACTGGGTCTAGCTAAGTAGTCCAGGGTAGCCTTGAACTCACAGCAATCCTCCTGCCTCAGCCTCCTGAGTGCTTGAACTACAGGTGTGCCCAGCCCTTTGGTTATTTTGCTAACAATCGTCCTAATGGCTTTTAAACATGTTATAAAAGTGGGACATCTAGGACCCCCACCTGTCCCTGCCCAAAGAGCTCACAGCACCCACTCACTTGTGTTCTCGGCTTCTGCTTTGAGGCTACTTCGGCCACTGAGGCTTCCACTTCGGCTGTAAAGGCCCCGGCCTGGACGGCTCAGGAAGGGGGTGCGGCTGTCAGGGATCCCAGGTGTCCCCGAGGGTGAGGGATTCCAGGGGATGTTCTCTGGAAGGTCCCTGCAACCCACCACGCGTACCTCCAGAGTCCCTGCAGGAAGGGCAGGCTCATGGTGGGGAAGGCACATCAGGGTCAGGTTGAGGGGACAGAGGCGAAGGGGCACAACGCAGAAGACACCACCACATCTGATAAAGGACAACCAGAGCTGGCTGTGGTGGTGCAATCCCAGCACTCTGGGAGGCTGAGGCAGGAGGATCAGGAGTTCCAGCTCCACCTGGGCAACTAAGTAGTTTAGCAAGACCCTGTCTCAAAATAAACAATAAAAAAGGGCTGGCAAAAAAAACAAAACAAAACAAAAAAAAGGCCAGGTGTGGTGGTGCACGCCTGTAATCCCAGCACTCGGGAGGCTGAGGCAGGAGGATCGCTGTGAGTTCAAGATCAGCCTGGGCTACATAGTGAGTTCCAGGTCAGTCTCAACTACACAGTGAGACCCTGTCTCAAAAACAAAAACAAAACAAAAAAAACCCCCCAAAACAAAAAAGGGCTGGGACATAGCTCAGTGTGAAGGCTCTAGATTCAATTCCCAGTGCTGCAAAAAAAGGAAAAAGAAAATGACAGCCAGGTGTGGCAGGGCGTCTAAGGCCAGGAGGATGGGCCCTGACTGAGAGACTACGGGAAGCATGAAGTGGGAGGCCCTGTATACTGGGCTTGGGACAGAAGAGCGACTCAGGGCAGAAGCTCAGATCTAGGTATGGTGATGCACGACTGTAATCCCATCACCTGGGAGGCTGAGAAGGAAGACTGCTGAATGTGAAGCCAGCCCGGGTTACACAGTGTGTTCAAGGCCACCCTGAAACCCTGTTTCAAAGAAAAAAGGAAGCCAGGGTCCAGGCAAGACGGAATATGGTAGAATTCGAGAGTGTGGATAAGATGTAGTGGGCCGATGGATCGGGCGGTGGGTATGCCCACCTGTGAGCGGCGCAGGTTTGCACAGCGTGCTGTAGTGTGCGGCAGGGAAGGGCCCACTCAGCAGCGCACTGAAGGCAGCTGAGGAGGCCGCAGCCAGCTCCTCACGAAGTAGGCGCCCCTTCGGGTGGTCGGCGGGCAGCTCCCCCAGCCTGCGCTCTAGTGCCTCGCGCAGCAGCCCCAGCTTCTGGTTGGACTCCGTCAGCTTCTCCTGGGCCTGCAGTGGTTAAGGCACAGGCCAGCCAGGGCCCCACATAGGGACTGAGGTCCTACCCCAAGCCCGTACATCTAACAAACCTGGTCCAGCCCCTCGCCAAGGCCCCACGGCTGGCTGATGCCCAGCCCTTGCTGACCCCGCCCCTGCCCCTGGAGGGCAGCTATCCAAGGCTTTCCAAACTAGGACTCTGCTCCTTCCCTAAAGCCCATTTTTGGCCAAGGCCACACCCCTCACTTTAGCCCAGCCCTCACTGGAACCCTGCGGCTCACTGGTCTATTCAGAGATTCCGCCACTCTCCCTGAGGCCCATTTCTAGCCTATGCCACGCCCCTCACAAGCCAGTCCCATAGCTGGGCCCCGCCCCTTACCAAGATACTAGCTACTGAAACCCGTCCTCCTCTACCGTTGGTCCATGCTGGAGGAAGCTCCGCCCCTCCTGGCAGAGCCCCACCCCCCTCACCTCGCTGACCGCCTTCCGGTCTGGTGCTTTGGCTGCACTGAGCAGGCGCAGCACGTTCTTAGCGCCCTCGGCAACTGCGTGCTCCACTCTGAAGTGATGTCGAAGCTCCTCGATGCGCAGCTCCACCGCTCCCAGGTCTGGACCTCCTGCGGGCAAGGTCGCTCAGCAGTGAGACCAGCTTGGTCCCCAAGCAGCAGGCACACCACCACCACCACCAAGATGGGTCCGTATCAACCCAGCTGAACAGTCGTGGTGACCTGGCCACACTCCACCCAGGCAGCCTGCCACGTTCTACCCTGACGCATTCTTCTGTCCCAACGCCATCGCTTACAAGGGTAGTCCTTGTAAGGGACACAGTTATGCAGGGACCGTCGTAGTGACGATACACAGGCACGCTGCACCCCAGTGAGGACCAGACACATTGTAACGGGCCATCTTCAATCCCAAGGGTGAGAATGGGGATGGACAGGCACCTCATGACCTAATTCGGTCCTGACACCAGCACCTGCCACTTGCTGGGGCAGGGACACACACCATACTGTCCTAATAAGTCCCCACTGAAGAGTCACCACCTGCTGTCACATCCCTAAACGGACACAGGGACGGCCACGATGTGCACTGCGCCCCGCGCCCCAGACAGATGTCCCCAGGGCCACAGAGATAGTGAAAGGCCCAGTAGCCATGCATCCCCCAACTCATCTGTGCAAGTGCTAGCCCACCAGGGGATGCTCTCTGGGGATGGGGCTTTGTGTTTGGGAGGCCACTAGGCTTAGAAGGCATGGGCTTGATGCCATTATAAAAGGAGACCCCACACTGGGCATAGGGATGCACTCCTGTGATCCCAGTGCTCAGGAGGCTGAGGCAGGAGGACCACTGCAAGTTGGAAGCCAGCATGGACTAACATAGTGAGACCTTGTCTGAAAAAGAAAAGCAACACCAGCACCACATAAAACAAAAGAAACAGCGGAGAGCTTGTCCTTATGCTCTCTCGCACCCCTCCCCGACATACATCGTATGTGTAACAAGAAAGAGGCCCGTGCAGAGGTAGGAACAGAGCCTTTACCAGAACCAACAAATGCTGCACCAGGATCTCAGACTTCCAGCCCCCTTCTATGGTTTGCTTGCGTTTATTTATTGTGATCCTAGAAACTGAACTCCAGGCCTTCACACTGAGCCAACTCCTAGCACATTTTTAATTTTATCTTTATATATATAGATGGTACTAGGGATTGAACCTAGGGCCTTCACACTCAGCTACCTCCCCAGTCCCTTTTAAATTTTTTAAAATTTTTATATAGTCTCCTTAAATTCTTATATAGTGTTTACAGTATGGTTTGGGAGAAATAACAAGGAAAAAAGGTCTGAACATGTTTAAGACAGATGTGATTTCCCCACTCAATATCTTCAACAAACAGCTGATTGAATCCCGCAGTCAGAGTGACATTAATACCGCCACATGACAGTAGTAAGGATACGGTCATCCACATGCGTGTGACAGACACCACAGCCCTGTGACCGGTCCAGTTGACAACTCCAACACGTTCACATGTGGAGCAGCCCTGGACACCTGCAGGTCACACATGAGCCTGGGTGACAAGACAACCGTCTGCTCCAGTGGTCCACACATTGTACTTTCCATTAAAAAGCCAAACAGGAAATGTTTGGGGTGTTGAAGCAATCACACAGGAATGTGTGGCTATGGCTGTGCACCAAAAAACCTGACTCTGGCAGGGGGTGGGTTTGGCCTGAGGGTGGCAGTTCCCTAATGTATGACCTAGTCCAAACCTTGCACAGGACAGAGCAAGAAACTGAGTCACATAATTGTACCATCACCTCTACCCTCAAAACGATGCTTTCTAGGCCAGCAATTGAGCCCTGCAAGGTGGATGGCAGGCGAAGCTGTCTGGGGCATAGCACTCACCTGGGGCCTCATCTGGAACCACCTGGCTCTCCAGCTGGCCGGCCTGCAGGGCCCGGCGGAGCTGCATGCGGATAATGTCAATCTTGGTCTTGCTGTCCTGTAACATCTGCTGGGCCGTCAGCAGCAGCTTCCGGTCCTGTGGCAGAGGCATCTGTGAAAGGAGGGCTGGGCAGCTCGGGTCTGACCCCCACCCTCTGTCCACATGCCACAGGCCTCAGTGATCACGGGACAGTGCCCCTGTGTGGCCACAACAGCACGCACTCCCACAGGTTTCAGGGCAGAGAAGCAATGCAGTCCTCAGGGCTTAAATTCCACCGCCATCATCTAGCAGCTGTGTGACCTTAGGCAGGCTCTCAATCTTTCTGGGCCCAGGTTCCCCACTGCACAATAGTAAGAGCACTGACCTCCACTAACTGAGGGATAGAAGGGCTGAGCTGTGTGTAGCTGGCACCAGCAGAGGCTCTGTCTGCACTGACAGCCAGAACAGCACGTGAGTGGGAGGTGCCCAAGGTCACGTGCATCCAGAACAGGTGAAGCCACAAAGACAGGGTGCAGGTGTGGTGCCACACACCTGTCATCCCAGCACTCTGGGAGGCTAAGGAGGGAGGGTCAAGCCTGAGCCCAGCCTGGGCAATTTAGTGACTAGCAAGACTGTGTCTCAAAGTAAAATTAAAGGGCTGGGGATTTGGCTCAATGGTTCTGCCTGCCTTGCAAGCGCAAGGGCCCGAGTTCGATCCCCGGTACCAAAACAACAACCAACCAAATCAAAATAAAATTAAAGTTAAAATAAAAGTCTGAGGATGTAGCTGTGTACAAAGGCCAAGTTCTACAACAAAGAGGGGAACTGATGTCTTTCTCATGACACTGGATTAGTTTGTTTTTATTGCTGTTGCTTTTGGTTTGTGCGCTGGGGATGGGACCAGAGCCACACATGCTAAATGTGTGCCCTACCTCTGGGCTACACCCCTGACCTGAAGGTGATTTTCCTTTTGTTTTTGGTTTGGATTTGGCCTTGTGAGAGCGGGCTGCTATAGAGCTAGCCGGGCACCTGCCCTCAGTCTCTCTCACATGTGATCTCCCTTCCGCACAAGCTGGGCTCCCCTGACATTTCTGCCATGCGGGGTCACCAGGGTCCAGCAGATGTTTGCATAACTGTGCCTTCAGAAGTGGGGGTGTGCAAGGCATGGAGAACACACTTGTCATCCTAGTTTTTGAGAAGCTGAAGCAGGAAGATTGCTGGGAGTTCAAGGCCAGCCTGAGTTACATTGGGAAACCCTGCCTCAAAAATCCAAAAACAAAAAGAATTGGAGCCAGACACTTTTTTTTTTTTTCCAGTGGTGCTGGGGATGGAACCCAAGGACTCACCTAGCTAGTCAAGTGCTCACCACTGAGTTGTGCCCCTCCCTGCTTATAAATTTCTTATAAATTACCCTGGCTGTGATCTTCAATTACAGTAACAGAAAACAGACTCAGAAGAAAATAATACCAAAAAACCCCATGAGGGAATAAACTACGGTGGGGCATACACATGCTGGTGGGTGTGAACCAACTCAGGTGTGCACACACTTGGGGAAGAGTCTGAGTTACTTCGTGTGCACGTGCAAGAGGAGTGCACACGAGTCTGTTCCCGTGCCACCCACCTTTGTGCTGCCGTTGCTGTAGGTCTGGATCATGTTCTCCGCACCCTGCTTCACCTTCAGCTCGATGGCCAACTGCTTCTCCAGGCCGGCCACAAGGCTCAGGTTGGTAGCCAAGCAGGCAGAGTTGCCTGCACCTGGGGACTGGGGGACATCTGGAGGGGTGAGAGGACAAGGGGTCACCCTGGTGTGCTGGGGAGGCTCTGTCTCAGCTACAGGGATGTGGCTGCCCACGATATCCAAGCCGGGACCAGGACAGGCAAGCAGGACAGCAGGGGCCAGGATACTGCCCACCCTGGTCCTCCCAGGAAAGCCCTGCAACTGGACACCTCCTACAGGACCCGGCATGGACCTGAGCAGGCGAACATCCACACATGTGCATCTTTGGGGTTTGGTGTAGGAATACCCCAACTTCTTACATGGCTAGTGTGTGCCGCCCTCAATGCCGGTGTGACTGAGATGCCAGGAGTGAATTAACAGTGTGACTGGTGCTGAGTGCACTCTGTCTGTGGATCCAGCAGTTGGCACAACCGAGTTCCAATCTCCCAGAGTTGGGACCGTGTTGAAACTCTGGGTGTCAGTGCAGCTAGGCATGGGGGTCGATGGGCCCCTGGACAGAGTGACAGTGGGGGACTCTGCACAGAATGACCATATGAGACCTGGTTCTTGGCTGGCTCTGTTCCTGGGGGCTGATGTGAGTGCTGTGGTGACTGCCTGTTTCTCACCAGGTATTCACATGACAGTGGCAGAGTCTCTGGGTGTCACCCCAGTGTGGATGAGTGTCAGAACCCTTGCTTACATGAAAATTTTCTAAGCCAGGTGTGAAGACACACAACTATAATGCCAGCGCTCCAAAGGCTGAGGCTGGAGGATTCCCAAGAGGCCAGTGTGGGCAACACAGAAAGTTCAATGTCAGCCTGAACTACACAGTGAGACCTTGTCTCAAAAAAAAAAAAAAACGAAACAATACAGGGCTGGGGATGTAGCTCAGTGGCACCACGCTTGCCTGACAAGCACAAGATCCTGAGTTTGATTCTTGGTAAAACACAAAAAACCAAAAAAGAATAAACACAAAAACTTAATAATTAAAATGATAGATTTTATGTTGCAGAGTTTTTTTAAACCACAATTTAAAAATATCTTTAAATTAAAAAATAGCTGAAGGGACAAAAAAGAACTAAGATGGGTCCGGGGATGTAGCTCAGTGGCGCTATGCCTGCTTGGCAAGCATAAAGTCCCGAGTTTGATCCCCAGTACTGGGGGAAAAAAAAGAGATGTATTCTGTATATGTACAAACTCCCCACAATAAATGTAATCATGTCGTCCTGCAAACATGTACTAACAAAACAAATTAAAACGTTTAAAAAACAGTGAAGCATGGTGGTACAAGCCTGTAATCCCAAAACTCAGGAGGATGAAGGAGGAAGATCATGAGTTTCAGGTCATCTTGGGGCACACAGTGAGTTGAAGACCAGCCTGGACGACATAGTGAGATCCTGTCTCAAAACACAGCAGCAACAACAAAAAACAAAACCAGCCTGGGCAACTTAGTGACTCAGCGAGACCTGTCTCAAAAGATCTTAAAGGGCCAGGAATTTAGCTCAGTGGTGGCGAACCTACAAGCAGAAGGTCCTGTGCTCAATCCCAGGTAAGGGAGAGGATTTAAAAAGGACGGTGGCGGGTGTGTGTATGGATTAGCTCAGTGGTTCCGTCACCTGCCTTGTAAGCACAAGGACCCAAGTTTGATCCCTGTTATGAAAAAAATAAAAAAAATAAAATAAAATAAATAAAAAGGGCTGGGTATGCAGTTCATTTCAAGGGCCCTGTTCCACCCTCAGTACTGGAAAAAAAATTGTAAAGTGTATTTGTGTATCCTGTGTGTTGGGTGTGACTACACAGGAGTCTGGGCTGTGAACAAGACAGTGTGTACATTTTTGGGTGTTAGTGTGGCCATGTCTGCATTTCTTTCTTTTTTTGGTACCAGGGATCACACTCAGGTCCTTGTGCTTGCAAGGCAGGTGACGGAACCCTGAGCTAAATCCCCGGCCCTTGTGTCTGAATTTCTGACACTTATGAGATCGTGTAAGTGTGTAGCTGGGTGTAGTGTAGGGACTGGTACAGGTCTGGGGCTCAGAGCCTTCATACGACAATGTGTGCATCTCTGTGTATCTCTCTGGATGTTGGTGTGACTGTGTGCAACTTTCTGGACATTCGCATGCCAGTGTCACTCAGGTACGGTCCAGGTGTCGGTGAGGCCTGTGTCTCAATAAATAAATAAAATTAAATAAAACGCTGGAGACACCTCAGGGTTATGTGTGTGATGGTGTGCACACCTCGGGGCACTGTGTACTGGTATGACTGTGTGACTCTGGGTATCAGGGTGACACTGTGGGACCCTGAACATCGTCTAGGTGTTACTGGCCTTGTCTTGAGGTCACAGTGGCAGTGTGTGAACTTGGGCGTGTCTAGGTGTCGACAGGACTGTGACAGTTTCTGAGTGACCTTGTAACCATTTCGTGTCTCCCGTGTGGTCTCAGGTATCAGTGTGGCAGTGGCCATGTGTGAACCTGGGGGTCAGGGGCACTGTGTGTCTGTCTTTGGGCAGTGTCCCCCAGGTGCCTCCCGCATGTCCCCACGCTCACCCTGGCCAGCAGTGGGCTCAGGCAGCACCACGTGTGCATGCAGCTCCTGCAACTGGCGGTGCAGCAGGTCCAGGCGGCGCGCGGAGCCTCGCAGCAGCAGCTCCACCGGGCCCC